TTTAATTTTTAAAATATAGTAATATAAGTGTAATTTATAAAATCTCAATTAGAGTTTTTTAATAATATATTTTTTATACATTAATTTTATATACAAAATAATTTAAATTTAAAAAATAGGGATGTGTTGGGGGGAATGTTACTACATGCACACTAGTCCACGATATAACTATTAATAAGAAAATAAATTGTTATATTATGGACTAAGATCTACCATGCGCATAGTGAATCTTGTCCAGTTTATTTATTGCAATTAACATATCATGTACTTTCAGTTAATAAATTTTGTACCTATTAAATTAAAAATATTATATACTTTCAATTTATTTATATGTACATAATTTGTTAACTGAAGTACATAATATGTTAATTATATATACATAATATGGATATTGTTTTGGATCTAAGTTCATAATTCAAGATGGATCATAGTTCAGAGTATAATTTGCCTAGGAAAATTGTATCTTCCAATTGATGTTTGAGGCAATCGTTATGCCATGGAACCGTGTTCACCATTCATGGTGAACACGGTTCCAACGGTGTTAGTACACCGTTATCTTTTTTTTTTCTTAATTAATTGCATGACTTTTCTTCTTCATTTTCACATTTCGCGGTTTCACTTTAATTTGAGGTAAGCAATGATTTTGGACATTCATAAATTATGAATTCATGCCTGCACATTCACTTTGGAAGCATGCCTACACATTCCCGTCCGAAATCACGGACATCCATAAATTATGAATCCATGCCTGCACATTCACTTTGGAACCATGCCTACACATTCACTTTGGAACCATGAGATTATGAATTTTTTGTTATAAGATTATGAATTTTCAGTTATGAGATTATGAATTTTCAGTTATGAGATTATGAATTTTCTGTTATGAGATTATGAATCTACATTACATTCATAATCTCATAACAAAAAATTCATAATCTCATAACAGAAAATTCATAATTTGATCAAACGCGCGCCGTTAACTCCACATCCGCGATTTTTTTTTTTTTTAATGTAAAAACGACATCGTTTGGACTTGTGTTCACCATTCACGGTGAACACGTTTCCAGGGCATAATTTGCGTGTTTGAGGTGACTGGGCCCAATTGGGCTTCGAATCTGTGTAGGGCTCCTTGGCCTGAGATCAAAGGAAATTGTACACTACTTCGGTCGGACAAACAGATTGGAAGAGGTAAACTAGGTGGCCCAACTCTAACCCATAGCAGGGAAAATTATTGTACAATAATTATACCATAGACCCGAGTTCAAAATATACAATTTACATACTAAAGGTTCATAATTGTGACAAAAATACCACGGATGAACCATAATTATAGCAAATTATTATGTGAATCGGGGTTCATCTTGCAAGGTGGACTCGAGTCCAAAAATACACAATTTACATACTAAATGTTCACAATTTACATACACAATCACATACTAAATGAGTAAATGTTCACAACTCAAATTGTAAACATTCAGTATCTAAATTATGTATTTTGGACTCAGGTCCACCTTCCATGATATAACTGCTGGAACAATACACTATGGATGCAATTTACTTCCTCTACCAGTTTATCCCCATAAATAAATTAATAAATAGTCATTTTTCTTTAATTGCATGGTGCCAAGTGTGATTAAAGTTGGAATATCTTAGGACATTGTTGGTCTAATAGCTGTGAAACCTCACTAAATATTTTCTTCCGGTGTTAGAATGGGAGTTTGATCCCTAGCTACCACAAATATTAGCGGTTTAAGTTTGGGATAACTCTGATCTTTTATGTTGTAGAAGTGTACAATTTAGTGTTAAGAAGTCGAGAAATTTATATGTTATTAAAGAAAAAAAGAAGGAATATTATTCGGAAATAGAATCGCATTTTAGGAGTTGGTGTGAAGCATCAGCAACGCTAGTCGTGGCTCACTATTCACAGTGGTGGACAAAAGTTATATAATGTGTCGTCATGTAATCATTCCTCCGAGCCGCGGCATCCACTAACACTCAATTAACTACACTCTTCCGTATCTCTTTTTCCTGATCTTGTCACCTAATATATGATTTTCTACCAGGGTTTTGACACCACTTTGATCACTTCAAACCTATGGCCCTGTTTGATAAAATGACTGTTAGCTGATAGCTGTTAGTTGTTAGCTGATTGTGTTAATTAGAGGGTATAAATAGTTGATAACATTAGCTGATTGTAGAAAAGTGTGGTAAATTAGCTGTTAGCTGATAGCTATTTGGTATAATTTCTTTTTCCAAAAAGTTAATTGAAAAAGTTGCTTGGAGTAGCTTTTTGAATTTTAGCCTTTTGAAGTTGCAAAAAGCTAATAAACCAAATATTTATATTGATATTTTAACTAAATCAAACAATTAATAGTGATCAAATAAGTCAAAATTGGCCTATAAGCCATTTTTTTTTACCAAACAGGGCATATATATTAATGCACGTTTACAAATTTTAGAAGTGAAAATAAAGATAGGAAGGGATGTGCTCATTTTGAGGCTCTTTCTGGACAGGGCATCTAGCTAGCTAGCTAGATATTTTAATTAGATGGCCAGTAGGTGTTGACAGGCCAAAGACTTCATTTTCCCTATATATATATAGCTATGTGATTATGTGGATGATGCTCAATTGCTTATTTGTTTGATTTTGAGTCTTAGAATATGATGGAACTAATTTAATATTTTAATAGAGGTTTATTTTTATAATTTCATATGTATTTGTGAGAAGAATATAGAGTAAAATAAATAGGATATAGGGATTATATTTAACTTAAACATTGCGGATTTTGTAAGAAGAATATAGAGCTTGGGCTAGAATATTTTATGGAGTTTAACGAAGGGCATTGAGAGCTTATGGATTATTGGAGAGATTATTCACTAGATCGAGTCAATACGATCTGGAATCTTTCGAGTATAGTGATTTTGCTACGTTTAGTCTTAAACTTTCAAATTGACTACCCGTTGTCCTTCGACTTTTAAAATATTACCATGATCCAAGTTAACCACCCATGATTCTTCAACTATCAAATTTTAACTACCCATGATCTTTATAGGAGAACTGCTGCTGGTTAAATTTTGAAAATTGAAAGACCATGTGTGGTTAACTTGGACCATAAATTGTAACATTTTGAAATTAAAGTTCAAAGACTAATTTGAGAGTTTAGGACTAAACATGGCATAACCACTTATTACCTTGTATGACATTAACTCTTATTCACTAACTCCAAACATGAGTGTTTAATTTGATGTAGATCGAATTGTAGAGTTGGTCGTGTTCCTCCTTGGTTGTGGAACCCTTTTATAGTGGGAAAAATGATACATTTTTTATGCTACGTTAATGACTATTATTCATGGTGCAGGGTAATAGCAATTCACAATGGATATGAAGAGTTATTATGAGCAATATTTATGATTTATGATATAATAATGAGAATAATGAGGATTTATGATAGAATAATTAGTGGTATAATGAGAATTTAGAATGAAATAATGTTCAAGATTATTAGGGATACTATCCCATACACACACACACACACACACACACACACACACACACACACACACACATATATATATATATATATATATATATATATATATATATATATATATATATATATATAGTCGAGTTCAGGTGCCGTCGCTCCTTCCCGTGCGGTCAGTGTGGCCGCACCAATAATTATACATGTTAGGAAATGCACGACAAAAAACATGTACAAATTAGGTACGCATCATTAGGTATGAATAAAAGCACCACACAGTATTTGGAAATACATCCTTAGGGGTGGGGAGTTAGATGGTGCATTTTTTATGTGTGTTGTGTGTTTTTTGGTGTATTTGTGCATTTCATCGTTGTGTTTTTTCCTAACACTATTGATGTCTTTTGTTACGTTAACACTGTTGGTGTATTTTGTGAAAGCGGCTGCACAGTCGCACGGAGGGCACGATTGCATTTGAACAAAAGTATATATATATATATATATATATATATATATATATATATATATATATATATATATATATATATATAAGTGATAGTTCAAGTATGATAAAATGTGGTGTTAGCTTTATAAATATTACAACTTAATTAAAAGTTTACAATAATTATAAAATTGATTAAATATTTTTTTTACTAAAAGCCTCCATCATTGATGAACGGGATGATCATGATTGAGATTAGTCATCACTTTTTTTAGTATTGTTTTTATTTGGACCAACCCATCCCCAATGTAGTTACACTTTGTCCTTGGTTAGACAATTGATTAAGAATTTATGGCATGTTTGGTTTTATAGGAAAATATTGAGAATTTCGATCTCCCTCAAATTTGAGGAAAATTAATGAAATTACTCTCCTTTAATATTTTGTCTTCACCTTGCGGGAAAAAATTGTCATACAAATATTTACGTTAATCTCATATATCTTTAATTACTACGTTAAAATATTTACGTCTTTAATTATACTAATTATATATTTTCAACAATTCGATCAATTTCATCAATCAAACAATGAAATCAAGCAAATATTTGTATATATATATATATATATATATATATATATATATATATATATATATATATATATATATATTTATTTATTTATTTATTTATTTTTTCACTAACCAAGCGGGGCATTAGGGATTATATTTTCACATAAAATTAATTTCACAATACCGTGGTAATTATTAATTATGATTCATCAATAATATATTATGAGATTATTAACAAGAACTAGAAACAATAATAATAATAGAAATTAAAGAAAATAATATTTGAGTGGTCGGTAAATCAATAATGTGCCTAGGTCTATAAAAATGAAACTATTCTTTTATTAATTAATTGATAATGATAATAGTGATATAATATTTAAGGATTTAACCAATGTATTTATAGACATCTAATGAATAACTCAACCCGTTTCACTCCTATATTCATAATAATAGCTATATGAGAGAAACTCAACATATATTATAGATGCAGTAGCAGCAAGATGTATGCAATAACTATGTACTACTGATTGAATTGGTAATAGAAATGAGGGAGATTGGAGTAGCTATGCAAGTAGGCTTGTCATTTCCAGCCATGATGACCAAGATCTTTGGTTGCATTATTGTTATTGATTCTTCATCATTTTCTATACTCATCGTTCCGGTTGCGGCAGGGGTTTCTTGAACCTCGGCGCCGGCGCCGGCACCGGCACTTGACGATGAAGATGATCTGTGCAACTTCTTGCAATGTGCCCAGGCAAGGACGAACAAGGCCACGAAAATAAGCACGAATATTGCTGCTAAGCAACCAAAAAGGTAAGGCACCGGAGAGTTCCAGCTCCAGGCATGGATATTGGCGGCAGCGGCGGCGGCGGAGGTGGAGGTGGAGGAGGCTGAAGAGGAAGAAGTGTCACTCTTGGAATAGTGCTTCATTTTTTATCTCTTTTGTTGTTGTTGTTTCTCACTAGTGAAATTTTAGTGGAGGATTTGGTTAGGAGTTAATTCATCACTTTAATTACTAGTTATTATAGATTTATAGTAATGGTGAAAAGGGAAGATTCTTATTATGCTCTTCTGATTCTCTTCGAAAACCCTAATAAGTCCTTTGGTTAATCATGAACAATCCCTTAAAGGTGATTAAATGTGAACAATCCCAAAGCCCCTCACGCCCTGGGCCGATAGAGCATTTGAAAGGATATAAATTACGGTGACTCAATGATTCAGCGGATAGTGTCAAATGCCTAACAAGAGATATCTCCACTTTGAACATAATCTCCACTTAGGCTTAAATTGGATTGAGAAATAAAGTTGGGGTTCAGAGCGCAAAGACTGAAGAGATGAGGTGTAAAGTGGAGAACGACAGAAAGTTTGAAGGCCAGAGTGTCGTAAGACGTAAAGTACATGGTATAATAGTGTAAATCTTAGGAAACGAAAGACATATAATATATTAATTATATATACATAATCTGGACCAATGTATATAATACACATAGTGGACCATGATTATAGCGACTATTCACTATTTGCATAGTCAAGGTAATTATCAAGGCAAATTATATATATTGTGCACCACGGCGCACATAGCAATGTGCTAGGCACAAAACGCGCACGTTTCATGCTGACGTCATGCTGACCTCAATCTGTCTATTCGAACAGACCAAACCTCATTATGTGTATTCAGTTAAAATTTTATGTGTATTGTGTTATGAGTTTATGTGTATTCAGTTAAGAGTTTATGTGTATTATGTTAACCAAACCCCATTATGTGTATTCAGTTAGATGTTTATGTGTATTGTGTTATGAGTTTATGTGAATCCAGTTAAGAGTTTATGTGTATTCAGTTAAGAGTTTATGTGTATTATGTTATGAGTTTATGTGTATTATGTTATAGTTTATGTGTATTATGTTTGTATTATATATTATGTTAGATTATGTGTATTCTGTTATGAGTTTAAGTGCATTCAAAACAGGAAATTTTTTTTTAACAACTTAACAAAACGACATCGTTTTGAGAGGCACGGGACACACGGCTATGTACACCCTAGTGCGTGGTATAACGATTGAATTAAGTTGCGACAACTTTGAATTGGATAGCAAAAACAGTTAAAACTATACTGAAAATTCAAACTAATAATAAAAGATATGAAGAGAAGACAATCAATAATGGTTTCGAAGTATTAACAAAAATTAAAATTATATGATTTAAGTGACCCCCCAAAAGTTAGATAGGCTCGTGTTTTGCTGCCCAATCTTATGAGTATCCAGAATTTGACTTGTGACTCGTACGTGGCGGTGTGTGCCTGACGTGCACGCACCTCACGCTCCCATTGCCGTCTCGCCGCGTGCGGCGTCGAGTTGGAAAGCCCACGGGATATCCCGAAACATGTGGCGCAGAAAGACACAGCTTTCGCAGGTGTACGTACTGTGTACTGTCTACGCAGTACGTACGCACTATTTTCTTTCTGTCTTTTAAGGTTTTTGCTTTCTCGGCTCGCCGCATCCTCAGCTAATCTAATTTATTATCGTTTAGGGGAAAAAGAAAAAGGCAAAAAGTTTTATTCACTGATTGCAATAAATTAAAGACAGCCCCTCCTCACCGTTGAATACCACTGAGTGCTCCGTCCACAACAGAACAGAAAATTCTTTAAAAGCAAAAGGAGATGGAAGCCAATAATACTTCACAAACGAGCTGAGAATGAATAATATAGACTTGGCATCTATGCACTCTCTAACACTTTCTCAGTTTTCACGCTGTGTAATCCTTTTGTTAGGATCAAGCATTTGTTATTATCCTCCAAAAACTATAACTCGAAGGTACAACTTTATTTCTTTAATATCGTCATCACATTTTGAAAAGGCAGGTACTGAATTTAGTATTTCTTTCCTAGTCACCAATGACTGAATTTGGTCCTTCTCTGACCTCAGTCCAACACCTTGAAAATTAACTTTAAAAAAATTTATTTCAAAAGAATTTCAATTATTGTCAAACAACAAGTAATCCATAGGTTTAACGGCCAGCCGTTTCATTGTATTCATGATATTTTCCGAAATCATGAAGTCTAAAATATAATAATGTATATTTTTACTATTTAAGATTATATTGTAACGTTAATACGAGAATTGTCTGTTCGCGAACATCATGACGGTTTCATGGTATTCAGGATATTTTCTAAACTCATGAGGTCTAAAAAATAATAATGCATATGTTTACTTTTTGAGATTATATTGTAACATTAATACGAGAATTGTCTGTTCACGAACATCATAAGCTCCGGCAAGTCTTGCAATTATAGTCCACATGAACGGAATCTCGGAGCAAGCGTGGTAAACTTGTTTGATTTGTTATGCCGAGGAATGGAATATCAAAATATTGCAAATTTAAACGAAAAATGTAGAAATTGGGAAAGGAAGAAATTATTCCTTTAAAAAAAAAAATAAAATTATTGCATTGATTTGTCAGGTCAAAATTTTCTTTCCGATTAATCATCACATAAACCGCAACCCTACTGACTACAGTACAGACTGGCCGGACTCCGGAGCACCAAATTAAAGATTCCGACGACCAAAATTGTAAAGAAGAAAAGGCCGGAAAACACGATTCAGAAGCCGGCGACGTAATAATCTAAAAGAGATCCGGGCAAAATTGTGCGGGCCGGCCGTCATCGATCGTTCATACCGGAATGGCCAAGTGGGTGGGCTTCGAATCTCCGGCCATGACGACTATGACAGTCGGAGTCATCTCCACGCTTCTGTTGGCGGCGGAATGGCTGGATTTCTCCTCAGGATCGGCGGCGGCGGCGGAGGAGCGTTTCCTGAAGGAACAGGCCAGCAAGAGAAGCGCCAATGCTATGAGCATACACATGACAGATAAGCCGGCGAAAAGGTACGGCAATGGAGATTTCCATACCGGAAGTGCGTTTCTTGATGGACTCATCTCTCTCTGTAATCTCTCTCTCCTCTGGATTTGTGGGTATGCGGAGAACAGAGATGGCGAAACTATTGAAGACGCCGACCCGTTTTTATAAGGTATGTAAGAATAGAATTAAATGAAAGATGCTCGATCATATATTTGATATTTTGTTCTTAACTAATAATGGTAGTATTTTATCCAAAAAACACAAAATAATAGTAGTGTTTTTTTTTTTTTTTTTTTTTTCATGTTACAAATGGAGTATCTCGTTTATAGTATTTTCTCAACCTACTAAAGCATCCAGAGTCAATACCACCCCCATTAAGCTTAAACCCATGATCTCTCATTTGGAAAAGTCACTTCATGTCACTATACCACAAGGTTATTGACACTTATAATAGTATATATATATATATATATATATATATATATATATATATATATATATATAATATAATAACTAGCATTTTGTACGTGCAATGCGCGAAAGTTTATGCCCAATATTAAAACATTAATAAATACAAATAATTAAAAATTATAATTCAGATTATATATACACAAATAATATATGTATTTTAATCACATATATGATTTATCTTCCATAGAAATTTAATTAAAATATAATCAACCATTAAATTAATTATATAATGATTTTAATTAATAAAATGATAATTAAAGAATAGGAAAAATATATAATAGATATAGGTGTATGGTAATAATGATGGAGTTATCAATGTTAGAATTAAAAAGTAATGGTGTAAAGATAATTTTGTCCAACAAAAATATAATGTAGTAGGGATAATTTTATCTAATCATATTGAAGTGTACAATATTTAAATTGAAATGTATACTTTTATTAGCCTATAAAAAATCGATATAAATTAAAGATATAGCTTTAATTTGATTGAGACTTATTGTTTTTAGATATAGTTCTAAAGATATTTCAGATTATTGGTGTACAAAGGTAATGCATATATTGTATACGCTTAAGTAATGTATGTCATTGCATTCAAAAAAAAAAAAAAAAGAAAAAAGAGAAAAAAGTAATGTATGTCATTGAGGAAACTCAATTGATGCCTGTATTTAAAGCATATATACTATATATGAGGATACACATAAATCTCAATTAAAATAATGTATTAGTTCGATGAAAATTCAATTAATTAATTGAACCGATACTTTTTTATTAACTATTTTAAAATTTGTTAGCATATATATATATATATATATATATATATATATATATATATATATATATAATGTGATTTTCTATAATTTAGAGATTATACTATTAAAATATTGAGTCGATGAAATCTGATGTGAGATTAGAGTTACGTGACATTTGTTGCAGGCTCTGATTGTTTGACGCGTGCCACAGTTCTCGCAGATATCATCCTTTGGAGGATACTTGGGATGTGTGCTAGTTCGTTTCGAATTCATGCCTTCATCCTTTTAGAAATTGTTTTTGAAAACAAAAAACGACAATATTATTTTTATTGAAACCAAAGCAGAAAACTCCATTAATGACTTAGCAAACCAAAAATACAAGCAGGTGTGATAATAGCCCACACTCCTGAGACAGACATAGAACCGGTTGTCCGAGCTAGCTCATGAGCTACACGATTCGCTGATCTCTTGACATGAAAACACTAACACTCCCAATGTCATTAGCAATCGACAGACATTACTTCACCATTATGTAAGCAATTTTAATATAAACTAACCTCCAGCCATAGTTGTTTTTCAGTAGACTACCTTGGATTGCTGTGAACTGCCTTGGTTGTTGTTGTAGTTGTACAGTAGGGTGTCTCCCACTTTCTCACAGATTCAAAGGATAGTGTATAGAATGTCAAAATGACAGTAATCTGTGCAGTGGGGGACCTGTCCTTTTATAGTCTATATGCCATCAATAAAGACTTTGTAACGGTTTCCGTTACAACCGTTACAACACTTAATTGACTCATACTTAATGACCATAAACTTTCACCATTCATTATGTTTTCAAGATGGAAAACGTTACATT